GTTCCGTATGACTGAAACGAACCTACCGCGCGTAATTATTCGCTGGTTATCTAACTTTTTGGAAAACAGAAAATGTAAAATAAATGTTAGGGGAACCTACTCGGAGTCATTTACTCCAGAAGCAGGCGTCCCCCAAGGAGGGGTAGTTACCCTATTCTATTCCTCATGTGCCTAAGCAATATGCCACTAAAAGACCCCAACTCAGTATTTTCATATCAATTCGCAGATGATGTTGAGGTTTGGAATAGTGCTCCCACCTCATCTCTAGCAGCAACAAATATTCAACAACAATTAAACACTATAGAAGAATACTGCTAAAAATATAGAATAAAAATAAATGTCCCCAAAAAGCAACTAGAGATGTTTACAAAACATAAAAATAATCCACCGAAGCTATATATGAATGGGATACTTCTCCAGACCACAACTTCAGCTAAATTCCTCGGCCTAATCTATGACTCCAAACTGACATGGACTAAACACATCAACAATATATTAACTAAAGTTTGGAAAAGAACAAATTATGCAAGAAGTCTAACAGGCAAAAATCATGGAACCACAACAGATGATATCATAAAAATATATAAAACGTACATTCGACCAGTAATAGAATACGCATGCCCAGCATGGTTAAACATAACAAGTAAACAGATAAATAAATCCCATACAATACAAAACTAATTACTCATAACAGCCTATAAAGTACCACGCAGCACATCATCCAAATTCATGCACAATTACATAAATATGCAAACAATCGCCGATAGACTCTTGCGTAATTCTCTAAATTACTTTAACAAAGATTTACATAAAAACGATCTACTGTGCGAACGTGACCGCTACTACGTACATGATAGAAATGGGTCTAAGCACCTGTCGCCACTCAATATGTATATTAAAACATTTAAAAGGGTATTCATGTGAAATGTTCTTCAATTGAGATTGAAGCTAGTGAAATGTGAGAATAACATTCTGAGGTGTTCGTGATGTACAAGACAATGTAATAGCGAACTAAGCGAAGATGTATACAATCACATGAATGTAACTGTTGCTACCTACATGGGCGTTGCCCTCAAAGGGGTCGGAGTAAGTGCGGTTTACACTGACCCTCATGTTGTATCTCCATATACATTCAACAGCAACCATGCAACATCGTACAGGAGGGAGGAAGAGGTCAACGAACCTGACCCTCCCAGGTCTTTAAAGACCTAAATACCGATAAAATGCAAAGAGAGATAAAGATTATGATAACATAATAATGCGAAACTCTTTAAATCAAATTCGCGTGAACGAATACGTAAACTATTCTTTTTTTAATTTGATATATTTATCTTTACATTTTAATTTTAATGTCCTGAAAATTTGAGTATTGTTATTCAGCCACACCTTATGGTTCATACTATATAATCTAGGCATTTATCCTATTAAAATAAATCGAAGTCAGCAAGTTAACTTCGCGCTTTTGTATTTAGATACTGTTTAAGATCATTAAAAAACAAAGTGAAATAATGTTTCATACTAAATCACACAGTCATTGAAAAGTACCTAGTAGCATGTCCTCTGGTGGGTAAGCTTGAGGTATTATAACGATATAACTTGGAGTCCCATCCCTGCAACGGACATAGCTCAGAAGCTATTGTGCCCCCATTGCACTTCAAAAACAAACAAATCTTCGTCCACAATCGCTTTTGTTCGATATTAATACATTGACCTCATGTTGTATGATCTAGGCCATAGTGAGCTTGTAGAGTTCAAAGGTAAAGGTCGCTCTAGCACAAAATAAGTTGTTTTGTAATATTTATTTTTGTTTATAGTTCAATGTATTGGAATGTTTAAAACGCTCTGGAGAAAGTTGCCAATTTACTGACCATATTTACTGATTTATTGACCATGAAAGATCATTAAGCTGAATCCAAATTATTCGTGCTTAGCACATGGCCAGCTTATACACGTAATGTTACAATCACACACATTATTAAAGAATTACATAAGAGATGTGACCACAATTCTTCTATCAGCCTTACCTGTAGTGGCATGTTGGACAACGCTGTGTGGTATTGAGGGTCGTGCACTAAAGTGACCGTAAATGTGGATTTAAAATTCGGTTCGTCAAAACACGGGAAAGCCCTTCTGGCGTAGGTTGGCTGAAACTTTGATGTTGCAAGGTACCTAGAAAACCGGAAATGTACAATTTATTGTCACCTATAGCAATATTATGTTGTATAAATATATTCATTACCTCAAATTTAAGACAAATCCGTGGTAATTATCTAGTATAAAAACTGACATCCCGTTCCCCACAATGCTAGCCCTTCCAGTCGGCATTATAATGAGACTAGTATAAAAGCCCGTTAAAAATGACGGGAAACTATTTTTGAATGGTTAACAAAAATTATAGAATTTATCTAAAACGAATCTGTCTGTACCTCCAAAATGCACCTACTCTTCACTTATTTCCTCAGTCTCGAAGTAATTCTTTAATCACCACATTTTAATTAAAAACTACGCAGAATAATGAAATGTTATCGTAAAAAAAGTATGTGTGCACTCTAGAAGAGACTTAAAATCTAAATAGCATTCTTGAGCCATTTCACTGTATTCTATGTCGGGAAGTAAAAACATAGTGCGGATATTCCAACACAAATTTTCAACTCTTTCGACTGTACAGAGAATAAAAGATATTTGGTAGTAATAAACGTTTATTTTTCTTTATGTTTTAAGGCCAAGTATGTAATATATGTGTTGAAATACCAAAAGAATATTTATTAATTAATATTTATCCACCACTCAAACCTTTTTAAATACTGACTCTATAACGTTAATAATAGTAGGCCTATTTGTAGTCTAATTTAAGCATTAGGCCTAATACATAAACGTAACGTAAGGCTTAGCCGAAACACTACTTGGTAGATTCTTATTTTGCTTTTGTCTACAACCCAATGTTACGACAGTGGAAGTCACGTGACGCTGGTGGCACGTGATGAATTTCTCGAATGATCATGAATGATGGGAAGGCCCGAGTGTATTTGAGACGCCCCTCTTCGTTGGTATATACGCCTGGCAGAAAAGCCTGCGGGAATGAATGAAGAGAGTTCCAGGCAATTTACGATTCTTTTTCGAGCTAGTGTTTTGCACTCGTAGAAAGCGAAGTTATCGAGATTGTGAATCGCTGTGATTTATAGCGTGTATTATAAAAGCAGTTAAGTTTAACGTGACGAGAAACGAATTGACTGTGGAATTACTGTGTACTAAAAGTTTGTATCGAGGAAGAATAAACTGGTTTAATCAAGAAAGGAAAGAAAGGTCTTGTATCGCTGAAGTTCCTCGAAAAGAATTTATACCGGAAATTATCAAACAAGCAGATACGTAACACCAATATCATAAAACTTCTGAATTAAACTATATCACTAAATTATATCACTGAAGTTATAAAAAATAAAGAATAAAAAACAAACGTTTCTAACGAATCAACATGAATATTGAACATTCAACATAAACACATAGTTAGCCTTAGAACAATCAGGTGATAATTTTGTTACTAAGCGACGATGTATATTGTTGAGCATTACCCAAAAAGAAGCACGAAAGCGTTCTCGATAGAGTGACAAAGGAAATAAGCCATTTATAGTTAGTTAAAATAATTTCGATATTTGTTGGTAAAGAGTAGCCCTAGGGTTGGCAGTGGGTGGTGTTAACTATCTTTCTCTTTAAGAGTCTATCACTTCAAAATTAGAGATAGCTAACACAGGTACCCCTCGAGTGGCTTTGTGCAAAATTCAAAAAACAAACACACACGCATTACACAGCCCTTCTATCGAGAAGAAGGTAATTATATTGGCTTATTTTTATTATCATTTCAATTTCTTATTTTCAGTATTAATTCAGAGAAGAGATGGACGTTTTCGGGCTGCAGATCAAAGCCCAAGGTTCGGGCTGCGATATACCGTGAACAAGCTCTGCAATTTCAGCTGTGTGGTTGTTATGAGTATGACAGTCTACACTCAGTTAAGAATAGCCTCGCAAGCGGTGATTGCTGTTGACCACCTAATTAACTGCCCAATCTCTGGCTGGCCTTTCTAGGTTAGAAATAGCTGTGCATGAACCTTTGACCTGGTCTTTTAGCCCATGTGTCGTATAAAGTGCTGTTTAGGTGGATATGTCATTACCAGTTCATAGAAAAAAATATGGCATGTATTACATATTTTCTTCATTGTTTCCAGTCTGAACTAACTATGCGAGGGAAAAAACTGATTTCATTATCATCGTTAAACAAAAAAATAAGCCTTTATTCTGCTGTTTTAAATGTTCATAATCGACACTGTTTTTTCCGTAAACTTTACTTGTTTTATTCTCTTACAGATTAATTAATAATATTCACCAGAGAGAGAGCTGTTGCTAAGTGTTTTCAGTTTAACAAATAGAAGGTCAAATAGTAAAATATGAAACAGAATAAAACAGCTTATGAATTTAAATTGTGAAATACGTTTGTGTACGTTACTTGCTGCATATAATACCACCACTTACATGTATATTAGAGTACAAACTACTACGTTTGAAAAGTGCATTTTCAAATAAGAGGAGTAATCGTATTGAAGGTTTACGTTGCTTACTATCTACGTTTAGTTAGTGAGTAGTATTGAAGATATACAGAAAATATACTTCAACATGTGTCAAAGTAATTCCTTGGACTAACGCTGTTATTAAAGAGATTAACAGGCTTATTGAAAAGCACTTCATTACCTATTTTTTAAACGTAACAATAAGTTTACGATATAAAAACAACCAAGTTCTGAAGCTTACACCCAAACTGACCTTTTTTGTTTTCTTTCCGCATTACCTATTGTCTCCTGGTACATAATATACATGATGCCTGTTCTTCCATTTTTTTCAACTCAAGTACTGTGCATGACTGAACGTTTAGCAAAACAAATCAGTTAATTGTCTGCATATTAGAGCTCTCGGTTTGTAGTTGAAGTTTTCAGGGCTACATTAAAACAGTACTTGAAAATGTTTGGAACAATATAGAAAACCTTGTAATTTCTAGCACTCCTGAAGAGCCTTACCTAATATGGCATATCAAAGTCAGTATATCATCACAGGATAAATAATTAACTTTTTTTATTGAGAAGCGTGGTTTTCTTTACTGTACATATTCTATCTCATGAAACTTTTAAAACCGTACTTTATTACTAAACAATAAACAAATAATTTACTAGATCTGGAGCTGTGGCGCAAAGTACATATTTGACCCGTTTCACTATCCTGTTATACGTTGGCCTACTTTTGTCGTAGTTCTTTCTTCAGATGGAGATCATTGCGATACTTGCACACAACTTAGGTGAGTGCGTATATAGGTTTGAAGAATGTGTTAACCACGTCATACTAGACTTATAATAGCGTACATCTTATAAACATGTGAAATTTCTTGTAAAATAAAGGCCGTGTTCGTTTATACCAAACAATGTAGTTCTACAGAAAGTAAATCAATAAAGAATAAAAATTCTATTAGTTTATAGTCTGGTTTCTTTTAATATGTGATGCTGTTTTGCATGAATTGCTTTGCACTAGAATAATCATTTTCTCTGCTAGACACAATAAGTCTTTACTAGGGTTTACCACCTATTTCTTCTTTTTTACATTAGTATAAATACAAAGGGGCGAATTAAATCTATACACATAATGTTGTTCCTTTAAGATTATTGTTTATATACGTGTGTGTATTCACTGTGCACATGTATTTCGATATGTAACAGCTGAGTTTATACCGACCCACAAAGTGAAAAATTTATAAATAAAAAAGTTCAAGTTGCATAACTTTGGAATTCGCGTATATACAACATCTTCAAATAAATTTTTTTCGATCTTATAAGCCTTTAATAGGAGCTAATTTACAAACGTGATAAATCGATGCATTCTGATCATTAGTCATACATATGTCTGTTTGATATCTTAGTTATATACGGTCTACAATACCATTAATGAATAAAAATAAAACTTGTTTGTTTTGGAATTTCGCGCAAAGCTAC